ACACACACACACACACACACACACACACACACACACACACACACACACACACACACACACTGCTGTTCAGACTTACTCCCGTGTTCTGACTTACTGCCGTGAATGTTGGAAATTACATCATAGTTTCCTCTACAACGTATTCAAGTGTGCGTCCTTTAGGTGTATTTAAAAATGGAAAATAGAAAACTCTTCTGCCCCCATAGCTAACTGAATCCCAAACAAACACATAATTAAGATCAGCTGTTGGAGAAACAATAAGGCTTCATTTGTGCCAGTCATTCACAATATAAATCTAAGTAGCCATCAGAGTAACGTTGTCAACACTCAAGTTCTAGAGGGACGTCACGCCATGATTGAAACGAATTCCGGAAGACCTCAAGTTCTTGATGCCTATCAGACTTACAGAGCTAATCCCTCAGCCTGAGGCCCCACTAAAACCACAGTCAGGACCACGCTGTCCAAATGCGGAGCGGTTGACACAGTGAAAGTGTCTCCAAAAAGAAGGTGCAAAATCATCTAGAAAGTCCAAAAGAATCATCTAGAAAGTCCAAAAGAATCATCTAGAAAGTCCAAAAGAAAACAAGAAAAACATACAGGGATACAGAGATTTTCTCATTCCCTGCTGAGGTGAATCTTCGTAACTCTGCCATGACAAAGACGACATATCTCGACAGAGCAACAAGAAGAAACTGTTCCTGAGAATACGTGAATAAACCTGACCAACAGCAAAGGCTGAAAAAGCAGCTTATGATCTTAAACCCCCAAGTGTCACTGAGATGAAGGGGTCAGTCTGTGGGAGTGGGGGGGGGGGGGTGACCAATGAATGCAGGACCTTACGCTGGTGTCACTAATGATAACGGTAAATAATGCTGGCATGACGGTTGGGGGAATTTGCGCGCCCGTGTTTCTTTTTTTATCTGCTGTGCAGTTTTGTTTGAACATCTGATAACGTTCGGTGGTCAAAAATGCAAACATGAAGAAAGGTACAATTACTTTTCCCCTGGGGAGCATAGCGGCATACGGGCTGAGAGAGACGCGGGAAACCACAGCGCTGTTTGAAAGGGCAGGTACACGCATGTTCCTGAGCAAAATCAAACAGCACTGGCCCTGACAAAAGCAAAAGGGAAGCGCGTTACGGTTGAGGTGTGTTAGCTTGGTAATATTAAATGGCACTGATGACATGATTTCGCCGTTGGGCTCTTGAGCAAGACCCTTAATCCTAATTGCTCCAGGAACTTGCTTTCTCAAAAAAAAAAAAAAAAAAAAAAAAAAAAAACATTTTGCATGAAGCGTCTGCTGAATAAATCAAATGTAAATGCAGAGAGACCAAAAGGAGAGGCACTCTGAAAAAAATCCCATAATCCACCCTGGTAACACTGACCATCATTGGCCAACGGGAGCATCTTCTCCAAAAACCTGGAGAGTATATGAACGTGAGATGTTCTCGCTGTGGAAGGGCTCCACCTGAGGGGCATGTACATGGAGGAGAACTCAAGGTGAAGATTGCAGAGGATCTCTGCCGGTGAAGGGGGGTCAATCAGTCTAAAACGATGGTTTGCAATCCTGACCACACCTAAAGGGATGTTTTAGATGAAGTGCAGCTTTTAACTGAAAGTTCAATTCATGTACAACCAGGCTTAACCAGTCCTGCTTACATAAGAGCCCTGAATCTAGCATGTTCCAAAGTGGTGTGATCACACACATGCGTGCGCACACACACACACATACACACACACACACACACACACACACGTTTGTATTAATATCTTTGTGGGGACCATCCATTCATTTGTATTCCAACAATGACAACCTTAATTGTACCCAGCCGTAACCTTAGCTTTAAGTAACCAAACAAAATACAAGACTTTTGGCATTTTTAGTTTTTTGATCGCGGTCACAGATTTTTATAAAATTGAGTTTGCCCTGAAAAAATGGTCCCCACAGCCTCAAAATAAAGGAAAAGCCAAACAGATCTCCCGCCTGCACTCTGACCTTTGACATCTGTGGGGCTGCAAGCTGCGATGGTGAACGACGGCAGGAAATGGGCACGAGTCGGATAGCGGCTGCACTAAGAGCAGAGCGCTACCAGAAAGTGGCTGCTCTTTTCAACCACATCAACCCCCCCAAGTACCAACGTACCCCCCCCCCCACACACACACACACACAACGGACACGGCTCATTAAAGTCAAATCTGTGCAGTTCTGCCCCCAGATCATTCCCCCTATGGCTTTGGTTATAGGTTAAACATACAGGCATAGAACAGGGAGGGGGTAAGTTAGTGTGAAAACACAATCTGTCCCAAAGTGGGCCAATCACAGAGCATCCTGCCCTCTGAGGCGTGAATCTGAATCGTGTGTCAAGTTTAATGAAGCTTCCCTTGAGAAAGGAAGCCTTGTGGGACATAACCAGGCCCCATAATGAACTAGTGCCCCACAGAGAAGACAAGATAGGACAGGCAGCAAACTCAGAGGCAGGGTTAGCCGAAACGTGATGAATTTAGACATCAAACGTAAATGGGGGGGGGGGG